GTTAAAATGTATGTAACATAGATACAAGAATCTTAATAAAGGTTTACGGCAAGGCTGCCAAAGATAAAAAAAAAAAAAAAAAAAAAAATATTAACAAAACTTATATTTACCTATTCTCTAAATTGTACTTATTACCAAAACATATCTTTATTAACCAAAAGTTTTTATACCAATAACTCAATATTTTTTTTAGGTCTCAAACATATGAAACATTTAATCTTAATATTACTATCTATAATATTTAAGATTTTAATGATATAGAAAAGAAACAACTAATAAAAGAATACTGTCTTCAAAACAACTTACAAATAATATGATTAATTGAAACCAAAATAATAAAGACTAAAAATAAAAAATTCTATAACAATCAACACTTTACATATTACTGATCAAATAACTCTATATCTAAAGAAGATACATACATTCTAATTTATAATAATCTATAACTATATATTTACAACATATTTAATCATCTAGAAGAAACTATTGTAATAGATTTGTTTTTTAATTATAACTACAAGTTCAGAATTATCTCAACTTATCTTTCATTCACAAATAATCTAACATGATAGCAAACATAATTAATTATTATTATATCGAAAAAATTAGGTTTTATATTATTAATACTTGGCATTATATGTAACTATCTTTAAGGATAATGTTTATAAAATTTAAATAATATGAATTATTTGTGTAATATTGTTTATAAGAAAAATTTCTTAATTATCCAGACTTTCAGACTATTTAGGAGTGATCTGTAAAGTGTAATATATTTGTAAAAGCTAATTGGATATTTAGAAAATTTTAATGGGTGTCAGAAAAGTGAAAATTCTAGGACAATCAAGCAGTTTTCTCTAAAATATCAATGAAAAAACCTGTAAAGACAGGTTTTAATTTTTAACTTTTTGTTTGTATCTTGGTAAGTTTTGGTTTGTTTATAATAAATTATATATCAAGTAACCAGTTTAAGGTACTTAGTAATTTTTTATTAAAGAATAAAATATGTTAACTTAGTAAAATATAAATAAATAAGCAAAAATTAAATTTTTAGTTTTTAGAACTTTTTTCAAGAATCAGGTATTGTAGAAATCCAAAACTGACTGTCTAGGAGAAGAAAAGTCAGTTCAACAACTTTACTTAAGAATATAGGCAAGGTTTACTTAAGAAAATTTTGAGAAATAATTAAATGTTTTTAGCAAAATTTTGGTACAAATAATCTACAAAGAGAATTACAGAATTGGTTCTGATAACATATCCAGAACAAGTATTAAATTATATTATATTTATTATATTATATATATATGTTACTAGAAATATGGTGATCTAGTAAAGTGAATAGGTTGTCAACCTCCAAGTGACAGATCTAGAGTTCAAATTCTAGTAATAACAAAAATTTACTATTCTTTCTGTATTATAGTTAACTGTCTCTGTAATTGGTTAGAATTAAATATCTGTAACTTGTGTTATAATAGCATGACTGGAAGGTTTAAGCAATCATATAATATTGTATAAAAGAACACAAACTGGTACTAGGCAGAGTGAACCTCAAATAAGTTCTTAAGCTATATAAATTACAAGAACAGATAGAAAGACAGAAGTTCACTTGAAAGACCCAAATAGAAAAGTAATCTGAACTTTCGATAATGCTATGTAAAGACTAAACTTATGAAATAAAGCTAAAACTTGTGAAACTAAACAAATATGTCAGTCTTTGAGGAGGGACTGAATGAACCAACCAGGCTATCAGAATTTCTGGATTTTGAAGAAAAAGAATATATGCTAGCAAACATGTAAACCAAAGGTATATAGTTATAACCTATCTTTTCAGACTATCTAAAATGGCAGCTTAGTAAAACTTGAATTAAATACCAAAGTAGTAAGAATATGTTGTAAAGTTAGTACTAGAGTTGGGTAAACTTTACAAGAACATAGCAGTTTAATAGTACATCTTAACCACCAATGTTGGTCTTGGTCATAGCAATACTAGGTTAGCTGTAAGAATAAAATACAGAAGCTTCTAAAAGATTTAGTACAAGGTTAAAAGTTCCAAAAAACTGCTTTAAAGACTTAGTGATTATGACATATTTTCATTAGCATTGGCTAGGATTTTTAGTAGGCAAAAGTAAATAGGTGAATATAGAAACTAGAGTAGTTAAATAAGGAACCTACAAGCAGGTTCCAGGCATGACAGCTAATGTAGAACCTTTAGGCAAACTACTTAAATTAAACAATAACTAAAGTTGTATAAATAACTAGTTGTACACTCTTTCTATAGTTGCCTCTTGTGGTTGTAATGCAACTATTAGTCAAATATACTATTAATAAAATCCTGGGTTGCAAGTACTCATTTTAATATTTAAAAAAAAAAAAAAATATATATATATATATTACTATTTAATTATATAATTTTTATATGGTATAGTCAAACAAACAAATCTTGCATATTACTCTTTACAAAATAATATAGAATTCTTTACTATGCTCTAAACAAATAAAAATTCTAAAACTTTTCTAATCTTATAATTGGTCAATCTAGATAATAATATATTGCTATTAACAGAAAGATAAAATTCATATTATAGATAGTTATATTATTAATACTACTATCTTATATCTATACTAATAATCCAATCAGATTTTTTTTAGTATAGGTAAGCAAATTCTGCTAACTTTGCAGCTTCATTATTAGAAAATTAATAATTACTAATTATTAGTAAAGATTATTTTTTATATTGCCTACCTATATTAAAAAAGATTTTAAAAATTAACTTAAGTTTTATTCTATCTTATTATAATTTTAAAACCAATTTTTTTTACAATAATCTATAGGTTCAAAATAATACTTATTTTTTTTATTACTAAAAAAATAAAATACAAATACAGTCAAATCTCTTAATAATGAACTTCTATAATGAATGCTGCATATAATAAACTAAAACTTTTTAAATTTTATATTAGTTTGGTATAAAAATAGTAATTCTATATAGTAATTGTTTTTTAGCTCGGGGTTAATAGTTCATTTTATAGTGTTTATTATATTATCTTTGCTGAATATCAAATATTTAATAATTAATATTTAACAATAATAAAAACTTTGTAAGTTTCAAACTTGATTTATTATTAATCTATTTTAAAATTTATTAATTATATCTTTTGAAATAGTTTTCATCTTTTATTATTTTACAAATAGTTTTGTCCAATAATACTATGCACAACAAAGTTATTAGCAAATTATGCAATCACATTGTGTTTAATAGCCACACACAAATATTTTTATTCACCAACATGGCTTAGTCTTTTTCAAAGTATTAGAGAATTCAACTTTACTAAGAACTTTGACCTTTATCAAGGGTTCGCCTTTCGCTGAGAGTTTCATCTTTCGTCAAGAGTTTCATCTTTCGCCAGGAGTTTCATCTTTCATCAGGGGTTTCATCTTTTGTCGGAGTTTCGTCAATTTCGTCTCTTCGTCAGGTTTAGGTTTCGTCTTTCGTCGTTTTCTCAAAACAGTTTCGTCAATTTCGTCTCTTCGTCTTTCGTCATTTTCTCAAAACAGTTTCGTCTAACAACTATAATCTCAATCGAAATAACTTTTTGTTTGCTTTAAAAAGAATTATAAATTAATGAAATATATTCTTAACATAAATTTCAAAGATGACTGAGGGTATAAGTGCGATACCAATGGAAGAATCATCTGGCATAAAGCTTGATCCAATAGAAGAACAAATTTTAATGGATCAAATCAGTTTTACCGAAGGAAAAGAATCATATACTACTTTATATCGATTCGCTACCAAATTTGACTGGATAATAATGTTTATTGGATTAGTATTTTCAGCGGCTGCAGGTGCTACCTCGGTATGTGTTTCATATGTTTTTTTACTGCTCGATTTGTATTTTAAACATTCCTAATTTATGATATTCCATGTAATTTGGCAGCCTGTATTAACAGTCCTTTACGGAATAATAGTCGATTATTATACCGAGTTTCAAACTCATACGATAAGTACCAATGAGTTTTCCAAAGAAATAAATTACTTTACGTTAGTTTCTGTATATTTCGGAATTGCCATGTTTATTGCTACGTACATATCCGTGGCTGCCTGGGTATATACTGGTGAAAGGTGTTATTTTTTAATACAACCTTACGTCAAGTTGTTCGGTCACTCAAATTAAGTTCGTCATAATGATCAACTTTATTTTAGAATCGCACGACAAATCCGTGAACGATATTTTCGCGCAATTCTTAGACAAAATATGGCTTATTTTGACAAATATGGCACAGGAGAAGTTACTACTCGTATCACATCTGATATACATTTGATACAAGATGGTATCAGCGAAAAAGTCACTCTCGCTTTTCAAGTAAGCACACATATATATTTGTTTTATTTATTTTTATTTATTTGTTTATTTTTCTTTTACTATCACGTATTCTGCTTGTTCTTTCAGAATATTGTACAATTTATTGCATCACTCATTATTGCGCTTACTATAAGTTGGAAAATGACTCTCGTGATTGGCTACTTAATCCCTTTTCTTACTATCAATAGTTGTTTAATGAATAAATTTGGCACTAGTTTTACGAAAAGAAGTTTGGATTTTTATTCTCAGGCAGGAATAATCGCTGAAGAAGCCATTTCAACCATTAGAACTGCTGTGGCATTTGGTACTCAAAATGAACTCTCTAAGCTTTATGATGCTTACTTAATTGGTGCGAGAAAAGAAGGGTTTAAAAAATCTTTGTTTAATGGTTTTGCTATTGGCATCATGCACTTTGGCATCGTTGCAACTCATGGTTTAGCATTCTGGTTTGCTTCCACATTGATTATTAATCAAGAATTATCTTCTGGACAAGTACATGTTACTTTTTTTTTTTTTTTTCTGATATTAATTATTTAGAGTCATTGGTTGATTTTTTTTTTCTCCTAAAGGTCATCAATTTATTCTTAACGTTTTTATATGGCACTTTTTGCCTTACTTATTTTTTTGTCGACATTCAAGCTCTTAGTCTTGCTGCTGGTGCTGGTTTAAAAATATTTGGAACTATTGATCGTGTTCCCTCGATTGACATTGCTTCTGATACCGGAGATAAGCCTGAAAATGTTGTGGGTTACATTCAATTTAAAAATATAAATTTCGTTTATCCGACTCGCCCTGATGTTAAAACATTGAATGATATATCATTTGATGTTGAACCTGGTTCTATTGTTGCTTTTGTTGGTTCTTCGGGTTCTGGTAAAAGTACAATTATATCTCTCATACTTCGCTTCTATGATCCTATCTTTGGTGGTGTATTTCTTGACGGACGTGATATCAAATCTCTTAATTTAACTTGGCTTAGAAGACAAATAAGTCTTGTAAATCAAGAGCCTGTACTTTTTAATACTACTATAGCTGAAAATGTATCTTATGGATTGGTCAGTTCCATTTATGAAAATTTATCCGATAATGCAAAACGTGAAATGATTGAAAATGCCTGTAAGATGGCCAATGCTCACGATTTTATTATAAATCTTCCTGATAAATATGAAACTGTGGTTGGTGAACGTGGAATTTTATTATCTGGTGGTCAAAAACAACGTATAGCTATTGCTCGTGCTATTATTAAAGCTCCAAAAATTTTGTTACTCGATGAAGCTACTAGTGCTCTTGATTCACAAAGCGAAGGTATCGTCCAAAACGCGTTAAGTAAAACCTCAAAGAGTCGTACGACGATAATTATTGCCCATCGTTTATCCACTATTCGGAATGCGACAAAGATTATTGTGATGAATAAGGGTGTTGTTGTAGAATCGGGTACACACAAAGAGCTCATATACAAAAAAGGTTTTTATTCTAAACTTGTTGAACTTCAACAGATTCAACAGTCTTTAGAAGCTGAAGAAAACCTTAATAGATTGAATTCATTTATAACTCCAATAAAAAATGATATTACTGAATCATTCACTATCAAGGATGAAGATCACCAAATTATTCATGTGTTGCCTTTATTGTCTTCTCATTTTAATCGAAAATCTGATGTTGAAACTGGATTAGATCATGATCATTTTACTGCTTGGGAATTAATCAAGAAGGTAACATTCATCAATAAACCTGAAATTCTTACGCTTTCCATAGGTATAGTAGCATCAATAATTTGTGGTAAGTGAAAAAAAAACCAATTTATTATAGTAATCCTTTACGAAACAGAAAAAAAAAAGTCAACCCGATTTTAATTCTAGGTTGCATTTACACGGTTTCTGCTGTTATAATTGCCAATATTATTCAAACATTCTCAGAAACTGGAAATACTTTACGTCATGATGCAACTTTCTGGTCTCTTATGTTTCTTATACTCTCTGTGATAAACTTTTTTGCGTATTTTACCCAAAATGTTGCTCTCGGATTTTCGAATGAAAAGCTTACCGAACGCATTCGATCTATGTCTTTTGCTTCTATTTTACGACAAGATATTTCCTTCTTTGATAAAGAAAATCATGGTGTAGGTACTTTGACTAGTCATTTATCATTAGATGTAACTCATATTAATGGTTTGGCTGGTATTAAACTTGGAAATATATTACAAGTACTAGCTTTGATTTTTGTTTCTGTCACAGTGGCTCTTATAGTTGGTTGGAAACTCACTTTGGTCTGTTTATGTTGTGCCCCTTTAATGATTGGTGCTGGCTCAATACATGTAACAATGATAAGTGGTTTCCATCAAAAAACTAAGAAGGCTTATGAATATTCTGCACAAATAGTTTGTGAAGGTGTTGACAATATTCGAACGGTTGCTGCTCTTACCCTTGAAAATGATTTATGGAAAATATATCATAACTTATTAGATGAACCCATGCGCCAAGGTGTTAAAAATGCTTTATTGGGATCCATTACCTTTGCTTTCTCAAATAGTATGTATCTTTTTGTAGATTCTTTAACATTTTGGTATGGTAGTAAATTGTTTATGAACGATGAATATGATCTCCTAAAAATGTTTACGGTTCATAACACCATTATAATGGGATCATCATTTGCTGGTCGTACCCTTGCTTATGCTCCAGATATGGCCAAAGCAAAATTTGCATCTGCCACCATAATATCATTATTAGAACGTGTTCCTATAATTGATACATGGTGTCAAAGTGGTGAAAAGTTTAAAACTGTCCAAGGTCATCTTAAATTCTCTGATGTCCATTTCTATTATCCATCTCGATCTAGCGTCCCAGTTCTTAGAGGTTTAAATTTAGATGTTAAACCCGGTCAATACGCGGCATTAGTTGGTCCATCAGGATGTGGTAAAAGTACTATAATAAGTCTTATTGAAAGATTTTATCAAGTGACAAGTGGTACAATTACAATTGATGGATTGGATATTGCTAAAATGAATGTAAACAATCTTCGAGAACACATTGCTCTTGTAAGTCAAGAACCATCATTGTATGATATGACTATAAAGGAAAATCTTCTTCTCGGTTGCCGACCTGGACAAAATATTACTCAAAATGATATAGAAAAGGCATGTCTAGAAGCAAATATTCATGAATTTGTTGTTAGGTTACCTGATGGTTATGATACATGTATTGGTAGAAAAGGAATGCAACTTTCTGGTTATTATCTTAAATATTGTTTACATAATTTTTTTTTAAAAAAAGAGTTCTAAATAGCATTACTAACTCGTTTTCTTTCAGGCGGTCAAAAGCAACGAGTTGCTATTGCCAGGGCACTTATTCGAGACCCAAAAATTTTATTACTTGATGAAGCAACTTCAGCCTTGGACTCAGAATCAGAAAAGTTTGTACAAAAAGCTCTTGATGTTGCTGCTCGTGGGAGAACAACCTTAGCAATTGCACATAGATTATCAACAATTCAACATGCTGACATCATATTTGTTATAAAAGATGGTAAAGTTCATGAACAAGGCACACATCAAGAATTATTAAAACTACAGGGAATTTATTATATGATGATACAAGAACAACACTTGGGAGAATTTAATTCATAGATATAAAAGTATATACTGTATTATAATCTTTTTCGCTCATGTTTATTGTATATAATCTTCACCTATGTTCATTTTAATCATTAGAATAAATTATCCTTTACCTTGCACCTATTAATCTTAGCTTTAAAAAAAAAATCTTTATTCTTATGTTTTATGAACGTGTTGAGGGAGTATCACGCGAATTAGCTCGACAGTGTTATGAAAAATGATGTAAATTTTAACTTTATACTTTTTTTCGTGTAACTTTATAATAGTTTAGCTTGTATTTGATAATGTTTTATAAAATTAGGTCATCATTTACGTTTTGCATAATAATTAGTTAGAGTTTAATAGTTAGTATAAAGGAAGGATTCTTTTTTGTATTAGTTAGGCTTTTAGGATATTTCTCTTGTCTTTGTGTATTGAAGTAAATTACGTGTTTTGTATTTAATGCTTGCGGCACTGAGTTAAATTTGGTTGGAACATATAAAAGCTCTCCCTTGACGTAACAACAGCTCATTTATTAATAACAATAAAATACTAATTAGTACTCCACAAAATCAAATCAAGTTTTGAATTTGACTCAAATATTTGATCAAATTCAAAAATTGATTTTATGTAGCATTAATGCTAATGAGAATATCAATCATATGAATTTTATTGATTAAGATTTTATACAAAAGAATTAATACTTTTCATAATCAGAATTAATAAAAGCAACAATATAATTTACAGTTATATGATAATTTTCTTTACAATAATTAAAATATGCATTACAATTTTAGATAATTAATTTTAATCAACTTTAATTATATTATATTTTAAATATTTTAGAATGATGTTTTTACACAATATTTTTGCTAATACTTTTGCATCCTTAGTTTAAGTTGATTTCATAAATATCTTAAGAAATTATAATATTTATGCAAAATGTTTTAGATTAACTGTAATTAATGTTTCAATACTGAAGTTTTAAGTTTTGCTTAGATTAGTTAAAAAACTTAAATAATAAATCTAAGATGTGTTAATATTAGGTTTGTAAATAATTTGATATAGATTCAATTTGAATTTGATAGAATTCAAATAGTCTGTTAGTTTTGATTATATGATTTTAACTAATTTATTAGATTAAAAGTAGTTATTTCTTTTACAAAAAATTTTATAGTATTATTATTATTTTTTTTTGATATTAAAATGACTTCTTTGGTCTTTTGACTTTATTAATACTTTTTAGATAACATAGTTTTATAGGAACTACTATAGAAAGAGTGTACAACTGGTTACATGTGTAACTTTTCTATACTACATATTTAAGGAGTTTATCCAAGAGTTTCTTATTAATTGCTGTATCTAACACTTTTGCTTGGATGTTTTATTTAAATTCTCTAAATCTATAATTCATGTTAACTTTACTAAGTTATCCTGGATTCTTGGTTTAACTTTAGAATTATTTATTCTTAAGATAAACCTTTTAGAGTCTTTTATATTTCCATTTACAGCTAATCTAAAATTATTATAGTTGAATTAACACTTGTAGTTAAGGCTAATTATTAAATTGCTATATCTTTATAGTGTTTATACAACTCTAGTACTTTCTTTTACAATCTTATTAGTGTCCTATTTATTCTTGCAAGTCTTTCTATACTACCAATTCAGTAAGTTTTACATAATGCAACTTCATGCTCAGATTAATTGATAGCTAGATTGATAGATTTTTTTTACTTATAAGTTCTTGTCTGTACAAATTACCTGTTTCAAATTTTCTTCTTTGAATCAAAATTTTTATAGATGATACTATCAAAGATTATATTACCTTTCTATTTAGAATTTTCAAAAAAGATTTCTTATAGAGTATATACTTTTCAGATTTATTTATATAATATTGAATATTCCTAAAGTTAGTTTTGGTATAATTAGAATTACAGAATTATAACTTCAAATACTTTGCCCAAATTATTGGAATAAGTTTATTTTTAAGATTGCCAATAAAATTTGAATTTTGGATTTATTGTTTAAAGAATAACAACCCAACTATTATACTATTTTATAATATTATATTATTTTTGACTTAGATATATAAATAAAAATATAAAATATATTATATATACAAATAATTTTATTTATATTAACATAAATATTTATATACAATTTTTTTAAATTTTTATAAATTATTTTAGAATAATTAAGAATTTTAATAAAAATTTTTATTATTTGTTATCTACTAATAATATTATAAATTTATTTAACTTTAAGTCTATTTTTTAACTTTTTAATCCAAGATATTTCATTAGTTCTATATAACATTTGGTTATTTTTTTGTTAATAGATAGTTATAAACTTTTATAATAATTCTTATTTAAAACTTAATTTTGTTTAAACTAAATTATATTAAACAAAACTTCTATATAAGATTCTTAAAATAACTATTTAAAATTAAATAATATAGTATACAAATTTTTATTAAAAATTTCTAAATCAATATAAAATAAAATCTGAAATCTAAAATATATATATTATATAAAATATATAGAATATTATCATTATACAATTCTTAGTAAAAGGGGTGTGGTGACCTAGTGAAGTGGTCAGGTTGTCAACCCCCAAGTGGCAGGTCCAGAGTTCAAATCCCAGTGT